ATGTATGTATGTATTTATTTATTTATTTATTTCACTTAGGAGTATATCCTCAATATGTATCCATTTTCCTATGAATGAATCTAATGTCTCATTCTTTAAGGCTGAGTAGTATTCTGTTTTATAGAAAAACCACATCTTCTTTATTTAGTTTCCAACTGATGGGCAAATGGGCTGTTTCCAAGTTCTGGCTATTACAAACTGTGCTGTTATAAACATTGGTGTGCATATATCACTGTGGTATGATTCTTTTAATTCTTTTGGAAAGATACCCAGCAGAGGGATGGCTGGGTCAAATGGAACCTCTCATCCAAGCTCTCTGAGGTATCTCCATATTGATTTCCATAGTGGTTGCACCATTCTACACTCCTACCAACAATGGAGGAGGGTTCCTTTCTCCCCACAACCCCACCAACATGTGTTATTGATTAATTTCTTGATAGCAGCCATTCTTTGTGGGGTGAGGTGGAATCTCAGTGGTTTTCATCTGCATCTCTCGAATGACCAGTGATGTGGAACATTTTTTCATATATTTACTTGCTGCTTTTACTACTTTGTCTGAGAAATGTCTGTTCATTTCAGATGCCCATTTTTGAATTGGGTCATTGTATTTGGGGGGGCTGATTGTTTTGAGTTCTTTATATATTCTAGATAATAGTCCTTTGTCTTGGAATTTTGTTAGGGATAACATTGAATTTCTATATCCTTTTAGGTACTGTTCTCATCAAAGCACTGTTAAACATTCCATTCTATGAAGATGAGATTTCCTTTCATTTACTTCAGACCTTTTAAATCTCCTTCAGTGTAATATATTGTATTCCCCCTGTATAAATCTTTTCTTTGGGCTAAATTTTTGTCTCTGTATTGTATTATTTTGGGTCCCATTGCAAGTAGAATTGTTTCTTAAATTCCTTTTTAGATAACTCACTCCTGGAATATAGAAGCAACTAAGCTTTGTGTATTGATCTTATATACTGCTTTGGTTTTTTTCATGTCACCTGCCCATATAGTTTTACTGCCTCCTTTCCAATGTTAATGCCTTTTATTTCTTTTTCTTTCCTAATTATGATGACTGAAACATCCAATACTAGTTTGATACCACCAGAAAAATGGACATTCTGTCTTGCTCCCGACTGTAGAGGAAAAGTTTTCAGTCTTTCAGCGTTGGATATGATATTAGCTGTGGGATTTTCACGAATGCTCTTTTTAATATTGAAATCATTCAGTTTTAATTTTAGTTTTCTGAGTGCTTTTTATCAGGAAATGTTGAATTATGTAATAAACTTACTCTGTATCCGTTAAAAGCCTACATGATTTTCAAATTCTCTTCATTCTATTAATGTGTATTACATTGATTTTCTTAGGTTAAACAACCTGTGAGACTTGGGATAAATCCTGTTTGATCGTGGCATGTATTCCTTTTAACCATGTTTGCCATAATTTAAAAAAAATTATTTGTATGTATATTTATAAAGAATATTGCCTTTATTTGTCTTTCTTATGGTACTTTTGTCTGGCTTGGTATCAGCTAATGCTAGTCTTATGAGTAGTAAATGGTTCTTTTCTCTCTCTCTCTTTTTTTTTTTTTTTTCTGTCTTTTGTTTCGTTTTCTTATACCAGGGATCAAACTCGGGACCTTGTACTTGTGAGGCAGAAGGCAGAATCACTGAGCTAAATCCCTGGCCCGGTCCTTTTATTTTTTAAGGAAGAAATTGAAGAGTAGTCTTCATTCTTTTAACTCTTTAATAGGATTCATCAGCAAACCTTTCTGATTCTGGACTTTCCTTTGTTGAGAGATTTTTTTTTTTGATTATTGATTTTTCTGTACTTGTTATAAGACTGATCATACTTTCTATTACTGACTCAGTTTTGGTAATTTATGTCTTTCTAGGAATTGTTCTACTAAAATTATCTCACTTAGTATATGAGTTTTCTTAGTATTTTATAAACCTTTTCTGTTTGGTCAGTAGAATTATTCACTTTCATTTTTGTATTCATTTGTATTCTCTATTTTTTAGTCTAGCTAAATATTTGTTAATTTTAAGATCCATCTTTTGATTTTGTTAGTTCCATTGACTTTTCCATCATATGTTGTGTTATCTGCCCTCTGAATTTTATTTCCTTCCCTCTACTAATTTTGATTATATTTGCTCTTCTTTTCATAGTTTTTTGAAGTACTAATTAGGACATTGATTTGAGTGCTTTTTTTTTACTTTTCAAAATATGGGCATTTATTACCATAAATCTCCCTCAGAGTATTGCTTTTGTTGTATCCCATAAGTTTTGGTATTTTGTATTTTAATTTTATTTATATCAGTTATTTTCTAATTTCTTTGTTGATTGAGTATATTTGTAAATTTTCCAGTTTTCCTCAAAATTTGATTTCTACCTCTGTTGCATTAATTCCCTATAAAAGTCCTACTTAAAAATACTATTATCATATGAATGAATGGATTTAGTTACAATACGTGGAGTTTGGAGGGCACTCAAACTATACAGTCCACAAAGCACAAGAGGAGTGACATGGGCAATCTGAATATGCCCAGGAGACGGCAGACAGTGCCATCTGTCATCTCACATTGGCTATTAGAAGAGCAGTAAGTTAGTAAGGCATTTCGAGAGAGGTCATATCTACATTAGTTTTATTATAGTACATGGTTCCAATTTTTCTATATTGTTATTAATTTCTGACTGCCTAATTTATATGTGAAGCTATCATAGGTGTGTATGTGTAGGAAAATTAAAACTAGCAAATATACTACAATTTAATACCATCCACACTTTCAGGCATCCACGGGTGGGCTTGGAATTTATTCTCCTTGGGTAACTGGAACTACCTCACCTGCTTTGTTTGTTCACTCATATTTTAGTGGGCATTTGGGTCACTTACACCACTTGGCTCTTGTGAATAGTGCTACCATGAACATGGATGTGCAAATATTTCTTTGAGACCCTGCTTTCAGTCCTCTTGGACATACACCAAGAGGTGGGACAGACTGTAGGATCTTACGACAGTTCCACGTACATTTCCTTGAGGAACTGCCATACTGTTTCCTGTGGTGGGTGTGCTGTTGTAAAATCCCACCAGTAGTGTGCCAGTGTCCAATTCTCCATATCTTTGGCAACAGTGGTTATTTTCTGGTCTTTTTGTTGCTTGCTTTTAGAACAGCTATCCTAACAGTGAGGTGATATCTCAGTGTAGTAGTGATTTGCATTTTTCAAGGTTGATGTTGGGTATCTTTTCATATGTTTGCTGAACATTTGTGTATCACCTTTGGAGAAGCGTCTTTGAAGTTCTTTGCCCAGTTTTATATGCTTCTCCTTTTTTCCTAAGCCGTTACTTTTCTGTAGCTCTTTTGTTTGGTTGATTCTGCTTCTACCTTTGCTTTTTAATTTTTTTTAGCTTATTCTGCATACAATTCTGTCTTTTCTTGTTTTCTCTCTTTCTTTTTGGGGGGCAAGGGACTTCTTTTTCTACAGCTGTTTTCATTGTATTGACTTTGGTTTTATTTAAATGCTTCTCTTTGTTTTTCCTCAGTATCTGCTGGTTGTGCCTCTATTCCTTTTCCCCACGCTTTTCCTTTTTGCAGCTCTTTACCCTTTTATTGTCATCTCAGCTGTCACTTTTTCCACCCTCCCTTGGCTGACTCTGCCTCTGCTTCTCCTTTGTCCTGTGCTTCTCCATTATGCATTTGTTTCCTTTTTTGGTGACTCTGCTTTCACTTCTACTTTCCCACTTTGCCTGTCTGGGATTCCCCCTTCTGCTGACTCTGTCTCTGCTTCTCCTTTTTTCCATGCTTTTCCTTTCTGAAGCTGGTTGTCCTGTGTGCTGGCCCTGGTTTCCCCCTTTGCACTGCCTGCCGATTCTGTTCCCTTTTTGCTAATTCTGCTGCTTTCCCCTATGCTTCTCCTTTCTGCAGCTGCTTGGTTGTTCTTTTACTGTTGTACTTTCCCCCCCTGCACTGTCTGCTGATTCTCTTTCCTTTTCTACTAATTTGGCCTGTTTCCTTTTTTCATTTTCTTCCTTTTGCAGATGTTTGTCCTTTTGCTGACTTTGCTTTTACTTCTGCTGTGCCCTTTTCCGCTGTTTCCTGATTTGTTTCTGCTGATTTGGCCTTCATACCTTCCTTTCCTATGCTTCTCTTTTCTCAGCTGTTTGTTCTTTTGCCAATTCTGCCTCCGTCTCTGTTCCTCCCTGTTTAAATTTCTGCTGCTTTATTTGATGATCCTGACTCTGCTTCTCCTTTTCCTACTGATGTTTTTCCTTTTGGTGTTTCTGGTGCTTCCTGCTGACACTGATTTTCTTCTGTTTTGGCATTTGCTTCTCCTTTTTGTTCTACATTTCTATATGCTGTTTATGACCTCCCTATACCTTTGCTGTCTGTGCATTTTATATCCCACTCATGTCTCATTTTTACAAGCTATCCCTCCCCCAGAAAGAGTATATGGTATTAAAGTAACAGTACTCACTAGTGGTAATAGGTAACTGTCTGGCCCATGGATTTGCTCTCATCCCCTGGGTGCTTACCTCTGGAGCGGTCGCCATGGCACAGGCTGAGAAGTAAAGGAGCACATGGTACAGAATGGGATGGGTTAGGGCTACAGGAGCTTTGGGTAATCCATAGTCCTTGGAGTTAACACACCAGAGCCGGAAACTCTGCTAGAAGGGCATTCAAGTAATAGAGCAGGGAGGGAGTGATGTGGAGTAAGTCACTCTTTAAAGGAAAACTAGACAAAAGGACACGAGAATATGGAAGACGAGTAGGTAAAAATATGGAATATTTCTGTACAGATAAGAGAAAGACTAGAGATGAAAACAGAAGGAGAAAGATTTTGTAGCAAATGGAATCAAGATTCAAAGCACAGAAAAAAGGGTTGAACACAGTTAAAGATGTGATGTCAAATTCTGTGACACCAAAAGAAGAGAATGCTAGTATTTTCCACTCTCATGATGCTGTCAAGGTGGTGTTTGTTTTGTTTTGATTTGGTGTTTACTTTTACAGGTCCTGAAGCTGTGCCTCCTTCCCTTCTCAAAACAGTGATGAAACCCATAGCAGCTGTTGGAGAAAGCTACCAATATCCTCCTGTGAACTGGGCTGCCCTCCTCTCGCCACTTATGAGACTAAACTTTGGTAAATTTCAAGTGTATTTAGGTCATTGGGTTTTGCTTTTAGAATTTGACAAGGTAGAAAAATTGATTGTCACAAAAGGAAGTGACTGGGTAGACTCGTGGGATCTTGAGGTTTGTCATCTTAGGTAGGTGGGTTACTCTCACTGAGTCTGAGTCTTGACACCTGAGAGAGAACAGGAAGAGTTCTACAGACACAAGCCACATACAGTCCTCAGAAACACCACCAGAGTTAGGGGTGCATCTTGCTTGCTGGTTATCAAAATATACTTCAGAGCCCTAGATTTCATTACAGCATTATGTGGGATGCTCTGTTAGTTATCTATTGCTGATGTAATAAATGACCACAGACTTAGTGGCTGAAAATACAGTTCATTACCTTACACTTCTATAGGCTAGAATTCCAATATGGTTCTCTCCAAACTAAACTCAAGGTACTAGTGGAGCAGAATCCCATTTTAGAGGCTCTGGGAGAAAGTCCATTCCTTTTACCAGCTTCTGGTGTCTGCCCACGTCCTTTGACTTGTAGCTCCCTTTTTCCATATGCAAAACAAGCCATGAAGGGCTGAGGTCGCCTCACACTGCAGCTAGGAAAGGCTGTGTTTAGAGACTCTTGTAACTAATGAGTCCACTTAAATGATGCAGGATAATCGCTCAGTCTCAGGGTCCATAACTCTGATCTTATCTGTACAGTTTAGTTATATGTAAGGTAGACTATTTGTGGGTTCCAGGGATTAGGTGTGTGGACTTAATTGGGGGTCCACCGATCTATCTGCCCACCAGAGATTCTTGGTGGTGAGTGGTGAAGGGCATACACACCTTCACTTCTATTCTTCATCCACAGCACCTCTCTTATACCAAACAGAATTAATTACCACATGCAAATAAATTTCATATGCTTGCTTCCTGCCTCAGTTCCAGAGGGAAGGAGCAAGGGAGGAAATGAACATTTTAAACAGTGTTGTAAAATTGTGTATATATATTTTCTGTAGATGCTGTTTCACTCATTGTAGAGTGCTTACTTACATATGATGTACAGGATGACATATAATATAACTTCCATACAGTGCTTGGTTTCTCTTACATGAGAAATCCAAAATATAAATAAAGAGCAAAATAAAAAGATAGATAATAGGAAGTGCAAAGATAGATTTTGTTCTAATGGGAAGGGAACAAGAGATGGAAGGAAGGGAAGAAAAGGAAATTAAAGAAGAATTAAGATGTAAGTACATGTATCAACTCCTCACAAGGAATGTGATCATGACGTACTGCAAACTGGAGTAATAAAAATTTAAGAAGAAGAAATTTTCTCATGTTTTTATTTAGTGACTGAGTGTTTCTCTAGGTGTCCTAAGAGAAATTTTCCTGTCTAGTTAAAGCCCTTGTCAGTCCCAAGACTTGGGACTGTGACATCATGGGAGACATTCTTCACTCCTCATCACTAATAGGGTCTCTTTCCTTTTGCTTTCTTCAGGGTCTGTCATTTGCAGAAATCACCCAAGCAGGTGCTTTGACATGGACATTAAAGCCTAAAAATGAGTCAGAGAGGCAGCTACATTACAGATTTCTCTTCCTTCTGTTTCAGGTGAAGAGATACAGCAGCTATGCCTTGAAATTGTGGTGACCCAGGCGCAGTCATCTCAGAGTGCAGCTGCCCTGTTGGGCTTGTGGGTGATTCCGCCACTCATCCATGGCCTGAGCGTATGTAGTAGTTAAGGGTGTTGCTCAGAAGGAGAACAAACTTCTTGTGGAGGAGTCAAGAGTGGACCAAAGGGATTTTATAAAAACTGAGTTTGCTTAGTAGCTGGAGATTATCAGAAACTGATGTCACTCAGAATCCCAGCATTGCCATTACCATACTTATTTTAGTGATCATTTATTACAGAATGGGAAATGTGATCAGAGCACTAAAGCTTCTTTCTCAAGGTGATACTGGAAAGATATGAAGTTATTTGAATCTATGTCTGATAATATGGTATACATAGTCATTTCGGTAGGTTTTAAGAGACAGGTAAATTCACCTACCCTGGACTCATCCATATATTATCCTTACATTTCCCAGAGGAGGCAGCAGTCATGGTGAGCCTGGAAGGCTTGGGAGGATTTGGTTAAGAATCAAGTCAGAGCCACCAGGAGAAGCAGATGTGAGCGTGTAGGGAGAAAATGTTCAGCTTGAATGCAGCGCTGAGCAGGAGGTGACCCATCCTGGCATTTGTGACAGAGAAGAGAGGTTAGCGCCTTCCAGGTGTAGGTGGGGGTAGATGGGAAGAGTAGAGGAAGGTAGGGAAATGTGTAATTTTGAGTATATTAAACTAGGACGGAAACATGGATTGCATAATTTCAAGTGTTTACCAGCTGATTATGTTAAATATTCTTCATCTTTGAATTCTCTTCAAAATCTGGCCTTCTGTCCTAGAAGCCTTGAATTTTCAAAAATAGTGCAAAACCCCTCCTATTTCCCCAGTGTTTGGATCTAGTCCTCCCTACTCTTCATTGATTTTATGGGGTTTTTAGCCTGCTCTGTTCTTCTTCCTCCTTGTGAAGGTGCACACTTCCGAGGCTTGTTCCCTTTCCGTCTCGCTTCCCACATGGCTTCCACCCAGCTGCCATTTACTGAGTGCTTGCTGGGTACCTGGGTACTTAACAGACATTGATTTAATCTGTACAACTCTGGCACATCAATCTTTAAAATAACTTTATTGAGTTTTAATTACATATTCCCTAAAAATAACCATTATAAGTGTAGCCACGGTATGTTTTAGTACATTTAAATTTTTTCAGTCATCTCTAAGAACATTTCTCTCATAGGTTTCATTGTATGTGTTTTCAGCTTGCATTTCCAACTGGTCCCAGGTCACCACTAATCTTCTGTTTGTAATTTTGCCTTTTAAAAAAGGATTTGTATAAAAATTTAAATTCCATAAAGAAATTCTTTAGAGTCATATAATATAAAGTCTTTTGTGTCTGGCTTACTTCTGAGAAATGCATTTTATTATCTTCATTTTATAAGTTGATAAACTTAGACAAGTGGAAGTCAGGCAAAGTTTGCTTAGCTAATAAATAGGAGCTCAAACTGTAGCTGACCCCAAAACCCTATTTTGTTAACACTGGCTGTCTTTTGAATCAGGTATATCTTGAATAGCTATTTTGTTGACGTTCAGAAATTTTTCTAGATTTAAGAGAACTTTCCTTTTCCTTTTTAGGTCACTACAGCTCTGTATTTGTCTTTGGTTATGGATCTTTGTTTTTATCTTTGTTAGTTAACAAGTTGTTTTAAAATTTATTTTCTGATAAAATGACCTGAAATGGCATACTTCAAATGAGCTCTTCAGAAAATTTATGACAACTTCTTGAAATTATTTTGGAAAGTTACTGGTTTTACTTTTTTAGACTACTTCTTTTAGACTTGCTTCCCCTCAGTATCTTACTTATAAGACTTTTGAAGCATAGTGTCTTAAAGTCTCTCTCAGAGCTGAGCTGAGAGTAACCACCCACTTCCGTGGCTGTCTGGACTCTGGATCCCAGGTCAGTTCCTCATGTGTAGCTGGTGGCCCTTCAGGCAGCAGTGGCCCCAGTATGCCAGTTCTGCTTATCACTCCCTGCATGTCTTTAGAAGTTACTGACATCAGATGCTCTGTTTAGTTGATTTCCAGCAAATGACCCTTTCATGTTTAGGGGCATTTCTTGCTGGAGGATGTAGCCTTTTAAAACTAAATAGCAAGTGTTATTTCAGAAGGGGCATTTTATTCTCCCCTCTGAAAAGATCCTGGGTTTAAATTTAGTATTTCAGAGGCAGATTGCAAGCATCACATGTGCACTTGTCTTCCTGGATCAGAAGTGGATCAGAAGTAACTGCAGTAGCCAAAATTACTCATGTTGGTGACCTGTTGGGCCACAAAGCTCTGGGAAAATGAGGGAGGGCGGAGGAACTGACCCTTTTTTCTTGAGTCTGTCCTCAAGTTCAGTGATGACATAGAGCAGTGATGGCTGCAGTGGGCACACAGCCTTCTGTCAGCACACAAGCCAAGTTGCCCCAGCCTCAACAAAGCAGTGGAACCTCGAGATTTAATTCAGTGTTGGCACTTTGCAATAAATAAGTGGGTTTTGGGTTGCAGTTTGGGTACTCAGTCTCTGAACAGTTCACTATCACTGCACTAGAGTTTTGAGCACTGTCAACCCAGATGTACCTGTTTACATCTGACCTCTTCTGTTTTATTTCCAGTTGAATATCAAGAAATACCTCCTGGAATCTGTGCCTGTCTGGATAAAACATGTCACTGGAGAACAGATCCAAAGTTTTGTTGAAAACTTAATGGTGGCTGTTTTTATAGAAAATTCACCACTTTACAATCCTGAGTTATGCCCAAGTGCCTTACAGGGACTTAGCCAGTCCATGAAACTGCCCAGCCCTGCCTACCACCTTTGGAGTCTGCTCTGTGAAGCCACTGGGAAGATTTTTGACCTTCTGCCAAGTAAGATTCGGGTGAGGAACAAAAATGTTTACATTTCTGACAATTTGTTTGGGCTTTTTAAAAGCCTTTTTGGCAAAGAGGCAGGTATATGTTTTAAGAATGTGGGGGTGGGAGAGAGACTATCAAGAAATAACCACATGTTTCACCAGGAGTGCGTTTGATTCCAAGAGCTAGGTTGAGCCTATAGTATTTAAAAACTAAAATTTAAGCAGACTTAGAAGCAGGCAAACCAGTGATACACCAGCAAATTTGCCAGTAGGCTTTTTTACCCAGATAACCTGTAAAAAATCAGCAAGCTATACATTCTTCACACTTTACAACTGGAGAATCCTGGTGCATATTGTTTTATATGCAGTTTATATAAAAAAACAATATAACCCCCCAAACAGATATTTGAAATGAATTTTTTAAAAAAAAGTTAATCCCCTTGGAAAAATGGAATTCTGGTGAGGAGTAAAGAGTACAAGCCAACAAATGTCCAAAGCAACAGGAAAGATGTTCTTAAAATAGTGAAAATTGGGGATGGGGATTTAGCTTAGTGGTTCCACCGCGTGCCTTGCAAGCACAAGGACCTGAGCTCGATCCCAAGTACCAAAAATAAAAAAAATTTGGCTATATGTTCAGGTTTGGTTAAAATTAAAATCTCATCAAGGGCTGTTCATAGTGGTGATAGTTTATCAGAGTGTGTGTGTGTGTTTTTGGTACCGGGAATCAAATGAGTTTGCCAGGCAGGCATGGTGCCACTGAGCTAAATCCCAGCCCTGATCTGTCAGGATGTGAAGAACATACTAACTGTTTTACATTGTACATTGATATGCTTGGGATTTTCTTTTAACAGAGAAATTGGCTAGAGCTGTATATCAGTATGGCAAAATGCCTCTCAGAAATGACGGATGATGATGCCAACAGAGTTTCCCAGATTACTAAGGTAAAAACAAATCTCAGTGTCTGTCTGTCTGTCTCTCTCTCTCTCTCTCTCTCTCTCTCTCTGTATACATACATACATATATGTTTGTGTGTGTGTGTGTGAAGAAAGTGCAATTGAAAAAGTGAGTATACTGACCTTTTGACTAAAGGTAGTTTAGCTTCATGCTTGTTTGTTACTGGTTAATTTCAGGAAATTGTCTTTCTGTTTGACTGTGGGATCTAATGTCCAGCCTGCCACCTGGATTGGTACATATTCCATAAGTGGATAGGTGGATACTTTTCTTAACACAGTTTATTCTGCTCTGTCAGGACCTGCAGGCAAAAATAAGTACAGCTTCTGCCAAGCAGTACTGGTATAAATGGTAATATTCTGACCAAAGAACTTTCTGGTGCATGGAGGGCATAAATAAATAATATTGTTCTCATATTTGTATTTTTGTACTGAATGCTCTCCTTTTGAAATTCAGAAGAGTACTTGAAAAACAAGCACTGTTAGCCCTGACACAATAATTTATAAGTACCTCTGTACCTAGTCAAATGATGAATGAGCAAAAAGTAGGGTATCAATAAAGTTGCCAGATTGAATAAATAAAATGGAAAATATTTTGTTAAATACGAGTTGCAGATAACAGTGATTGTTTTTTTTTTAGAATAACTACATCCCAATTGGCTAACTTATTTGAATGCAACTTTGCATACAGCTAATACCATTACTGCCCACCCCCCACACCAGTATGGTGGGCATCATGTCATTTATTTCACTTTATGGCAGATTTGCCTAATCAGCTAGGTCCTTAAATTTCTGTACTATATTGCATAACAGTAGCCTTCAAGGTGTGGATCCTGGACCAGTGGCATCAGTGCTGCCTTGGTAACTGATTAGAGATGTGAATTTTCAAGTTTCTCTCCAGACTGACTGAATCAGAAACTCTAGAGGTAGCACCTAGGAGTGCTTTAACTGTCTTTGCAGGGGAGGCTGGTATGTACAAAGGTTGAGAACCTCTGCTCAGAGTATTTGGAATGTCAGTGTTTTGGAGATTACTGTAGTGTGTTTTAAACAGAAGCAGTGTGGTGAAGTGGTAAGGGGATGGAATGCTCCATTATGAAATCTATTTTGTTAGCATGTGAACTTGGTTAAGCTTCATAACCTCTCTCTGCCTTAGCTTCTTCATCTGTAAAAGGGAAATACTAGCTTAGTGTTGATTTGAGATTTAAATGACTTAATCCATGTTAGGTACGTAAAATAGTTCAAAGACTTAGCAGTTATTATAATAATTACATTCATGTAACTAAGTACTATATATCCCATTACATTCATGTAATATAGTAGAAAATAATGCCTGTGATTTACCTCTTGGTACCTAAAACTAAAGGTTGCTGTGTTTGGTTTACTAAGGTACTGTCAGTGGAACATAAACAGCTTTGTGATGTCCCCAAAAGAATTAGTCTACTCCACTGAAGTCAGCGTTTCCTATTTCTATTTCTGGAAAGAACAGAAAGAAGAAGGTAGTGCTAAAGAGCATGGACCCTTTAAATTCTAGCTGTTACTGTCTGCAATAGCTGTATGATCCTTGCTAAATTATTTAGCCTCTGTGCTTCAGTTTCTTCATCTATAAAGGAATGGTAGTAGTCTACTGCAGAAGATTAGTGTATGAATTAAATGGTGATACAAATCTCACATGTTTTGGTCTCAGAACACTTTACTTTCTTAACAATTACTGGGGAGGACAGGGATTTAGCTCAGTGGTTCCACCGCCACCTGCCTCTCAAGTACAAGGATCCAAGTTTGATCCTCAGTACAAAAAAAAAAACAAAACAAAACAAAAAAAAAAACCAAAAACTGCTGGGGACTTCAGAGAAATTTTATTTATATAGAAGATGGATATGGATGTATATATATGGTATGTATGTGTATGTTAAAATTTACCTCATTAGAAATAAAAACTAGGAAGATATTTAGATATTTCAAAATAACTCCATTATACTTTAAAACAAATGTTAAAAAATATTTTCCAAAAAAATGTACGACAGAGGAGAGAGAAAAGAAGCACTGTTTAACATTTTTGTAAACCAGTTTAATGTCTGGTTAGGAAAACAGCTGGATTCTCATGGCTGCTTCTCCAGTCTGGTGGGAGATAGTTTTGATCTAGAAATTCCAGCCTCATACAGACATGTAGTTGGAGAGAGGAAGTTTCTTTCTTTTTGTTTTCCTCTCTCATTGAGTTTATTGGTACATTTTAGGTATACAGTACAGTTACATTCGTCATTGGAATCTTGTACCTTTACCTGACAGGTTTTGGTTCTCATAGTTTCTTAAAACTTATTTGCAATGTGGAATCAAAAGCCATATAAATAAAATTCATATACTCTGCTACATTAAAATATATCTTAGGGGCCAGGGATGTAGGTCAGTGGCACCACAATTGCCTGGCAAGTGCAAGGTCCTGAGTTCAATTCCTGGTACCAAAAATATATATTTGGTCTGTCTTCCACTTCAGGTCTTTACCCATGCATGATCTTTTATCATACATTGGTCATTCGGAAAATGTTGAATCACTGGGTTTTGAAGATCTTCCAAATGTTTGTTATACAATATCAAAACATCACATTTGTTAAGATCTCTAGCAGTTTTATCAAAAAAAAAAAACTTTCTTATTAAGAACCTCATCATAACAGATACAGATTTTCTGAAAATTAATTTTTGCTGGAAAGCTCAGATTTTACCTTTGGCAACAAATAGTGTTAGGTATTTTCCTTGAAGCAGCAGACTTACTTCCTAAATATCTAATTTGAATAAGAGCGAATTTCTCCATTGTGCTTTCAAGTAAATGGCGTTCCTTTAGAAGAGGGCTGTCTTAGCTCACAGCTCAATCTCCGGAGTGATTTTCCTTGAGACAACCTTTTTCCTTGCATAAATTCTTTAAGCATATTTCCCAGTTTGTCTCATAAAATATTACAGTGATGCATACTAAAGGGCCAAGATTGAATGAAACTGTTGTTTACAAGAATATGTTAAGTAGAACCAGCTTTTTAGAAACATTATAAATGCCTATGCAAAATAACAGTGAATACAGTATGGTCTGATGTGATTATAAAAATAGCTCTGACTTCACAGAACCTTTTAAATGGGGGGGGTCTGTGTACAATATTTTGAGAACTGTTGAATAAAAATATGTTAAGTGCTTAGAATGGTGTTTCACATAGGATTAGGACTATATTTGCTAGCTGTCATCTTACTATTATTTGTGCATGATTCCTAAATATTACCTATTAACCTCTGAACACATTCATGTTTTTTATGAAGAAACAGAAGGTGACATGACAACCTGCTCTTCTATGTGCTTTTTAATGTAGCGCACAGACAGATAAGGTCACATCCTGTAGGACGTGAAGAGGTTTTGCATTGGGAATAATAACGTCAAATTCACTCTTTCTGTGTTGCCCTTGCCCTGAGGTTATGTAGCTACTTCAATTCATTTAATAGTGACTGAATTATTTGCTTTTTTGTAGAGCAACATGGAAAAGGCTGCCTTTGTCAAGCTGTACTTAGTTTCTCAAGGACGATTCCCCCTCATGAGCCTAACTGACATACTCAGTGTTGCTGTGCAGCACCGTGAGGACGAGACTCTGGCCTGGATGATTATGGTCAGCTTCTACCAAGCACGGATTGTGAGCCATGCAAACACAGGTGAGTCCAGCATGGGCCAGCATCAGGGACAGAGACAGAACCAACTGTGGACCCTTTTAAGTTGTATTTGTTTCCTCAACTTCAAAGCTAGTTTAGTGCTGCTCAACGCAATTTAGGCCTCCTTATCCTAAATGAAGAGGATTTGAATGGGCATGAGTAGTTACAGCTCATGCATCTACTTCTTGGATGAGGCAGTGAACAATTTTCAGGGTTTTTTTATTGTATTTGGCCTTCTACATCCTCAAGAATCAAACAAATGATGTATCTATCTGCCTGTTTAACTCACTTCCCAAACACGTAAGATATAATTCTGCCTGATGATTTAATGAAAATGGCTTTTAGATTGTCATAGAACAAAATTTAAGAGTTACTCTTTAGGATAGTGGTGGTGAAACTGTGGCACCCATGCTGCAGCCGCCTATTCGCTAGCATTGAAAGTTCCAGAAGGTTCATCATCACTACTGTAGGAGAACTTCTCAGAGGTGAGAACACCGCAGTCTTCATGAGCTACCTGCATTCTCAGGCTGATGCTCTGCCACAGTCACGTTGTGCAACTCTGGGCCATTTTGGAATCAGATGGCACGGTCGCCTGGAAACAGATTCGTCTCCTGGCGCCTTGGATCTTCCTGGCCTTGTGCTGATTTCTCCACATTGCACTCATTTTTCATGGGTCAGATGTGGTTGAGAAGCCTTTGTGATCCTAGGCAAATTCCTTATGTTACCCATTCTCCTATCTGTTTTTTGTGTCTTTATGTATTTGAGGGAAAACTGACAAACATAATTGTAATATTCTATAAGGCTATATAAGAAATTTTTATTTATTCTCATCTCTGGCAGTTAAGACAGTTGTCTCATGTCTATATTAATGCTCCCCACCAAAAATGAACCTGCAGTGAGAAACTGGATCTTTTATTTTAAATCCAAAGAATATTTATCAGGAAGAAATCTAGCGGGTGTTTCCAAATAACCTTGAAGATCCTTGCAATAAACTGAAATAATCTAATGTTGCCTTTGGTTCTAACTAGCCAGCTTTTAAACCTAATTATCATTTTCATCTCTAGATTTTATAAATCTTCCTTACTCTACTGTGCTGGGAATCCCCATTCAAAAAAAAAATTTTTAATGACAAAAATCAATATTTTTCCTGATGCTTGTTCACCAGTTACCCTACAACGGCTAGTTTTTATTTTTTTGTATATCTTTAGGATGGGTTTGCTCTGTCATTTTGGCATAAATTGGGAACATCTAAGCAAACGAGGTCTATAAAAACAGCTAATTACCCAAATTCAACATTACTGGCTAGGTAGTATGTTGTATTTCTCATAATGTGTTTAATGTTGAGAGAGAAGCTCCAGTAAATACAATTTATCATTAAGAGAAGGGAAGCATAAAGAATAGATTCACTTTTTAAATTTATTTTTTATGTAAAGGTACATGATCCCAACAATGAATGTCTGTACTGTATTAAAGAATAGATTCACTTTTTAAATTTATTTTTTATGTAAAGGTACATGATCCCAACAATGAATGTAACTGTACTGTATCCCTAAATGTACCAATAAACTCAATAAAAAAAAAAAAGAAAAAAAAAATTTAGTTTTTATTAGTACATGTTTGCAACCCATGACATTTATATTCCTTGTGTGGAGTTGGCACATGTATATAACACATCTTAATTCCTTTTTTCATCCCCTTTCCTCCATCTCTTGATCCCTTTCCCTTTTGGGAATAAAGCCCAAATTCTGTTATCTGATATGAAAGATCTCAACTCTCACAGGCAATCATAAGTCTCAGGTATTGCAAGAGAACTTAAAACTATCTAATGGAATCCTCACCAGGTGTTCTGCCTCAGTTATGATAGTTATTACTAACCTGTTTTACATTTCAAAGCAAAATTATGATCTAGTAAGAAAATATCCTTTTCACTTTAGGTGTACTGAAGAGAATGGAGTGGCTATTGGAACTGATGGGTTATATCAGAAATGTTGCTTACCAGTCAACATCTGTTCAGAATGTGGTGCTTGAAGAGGTACAATCTAGAGGAGTCATTTATAGTATCCTTAAAACATAGAACTTAAAAAAAATTGGAAAAAATCAGAACTTATATTAAGAGAATATGTTGCTGTGTGTTAGTTAACCTGCTATTGCTATAACAAATGCCTAGTGTAATCAACCTAGCAAGAGGAAAGGTTTGTTTTGGCTCACAGGTTTGGAGTGGTCATGATCAGTTGACCCCATCGCTTTGAACCTGTTAATGCAGTCACATCGTGGAAAGAGTATATCATGCAGCAAAACTGCTTACCTTACAGCCAGAAAGATAAAAGGGCTAGGTCTTACCGTCCCCTTGGAGACAAACCTTAATGGTGAAAAGAGCTCTCACGGGCCCCCCTCCCAAGGTTTCACTAACTCCCAGTAGCACTGCTCTGGGGACCACATGGGCCATTGGGAAGGACATTCAGGATCCAGGCGATAGCATGCTCCTTGGAACTTTTCTTTCTCTTCTTTCTGTTATCTTTGAGAAATGCTGACAGTGACTCTCTGGTGCCATAGGGAGCAGTTATTCTTACAACCTGGTGTCGCTTCTTTTCCCATCACAGGCTTTGGACTTCCTGTTGCTGATATTTGCCGCTGCGGTGGTGGCGTGGGCAGACCATGAGGCTCCACTCCTCCTTGGCCTCAGTGCCAGTTGGTTACCATGGCGTCAGACTGGCCAGGGGCCAGCATCAAGCTTCCTTGGCATGAGCATATTCCCCAGGCTCATTCTGCAGGAGGCCCTCATTCTCCTTCCCCAGAGCATGCTGCTTCTGCTGCAGAAAGAGCCCTGGAAGGAACAGGCCCAGAAGGTGAGGTTGGCAGGTCCTTGCTTTGCAGGGCAGACAGGCTTTTGCCTTAAGCAGTTCCTGCCATAGAACTGAGGTGGGAGTTAAGTGAACCTTGAATCATACCACAGTTCCTAATACCAAGGCCCAAATGCAGTCTCAGAAACTGAGGCCAGCCCAAGCTGTCCAGGTAACTGCTGATTAAAAACAGTAACAATGACAACAGCAGCAGTTTGCTCGCGACTAGGAGTAGATAGAGAGAAAAGCCCGTATTTCCATGTATTTATTCAAGGAGCACAGGCTCTTAATTCTGGGAATGAAAATATGAGTGAGTCGGTGCTCAGAATCTCCAAGCAAGGACAGGAAGGCAAATAGAAGATGTGAGATGATGTGATAATTGTCAGTCATCGATGAAATTACTCTGTATCTAATTCACAAGCAATTTTGGCTACATGCTGGGAAATCAGTCAAACTCATGAGTACTGTTTCTATCTCATTCATAGGATTTATTTACAGTTAACACACTTGGCTCTAAATTATTTTAAGCCTCTTCTCTTGCTTTTAAACTTCTGTTTTGTATTCATTTGGGCACAAACTCAGCTCACCTACAGAAACATATTTTGTTTCAGTAACAGGAGCTTATACTTATTGAGTTCTGTATTTACTGCCCAGCCTAAGTATGTAGGCCCAAATGCAGATGGAACAAACAGGATGCAAAGAAAGTATATTGGAGCTTTGGAGCCAGGTATAGTTGGATTCAGATCTTGGCTCTCCTAGTCATTTGAAGTAGACTCGGGCAAGGCTATAATCCTCTTGGGCCTCTCTGTGATAGGGATAATCACTTGGATCCCTCAAACCCCTGTCTCCTTGCTCTCAAAACCTATTCCAGGTCTTGTGGTATTAAGCAGACAAGCTTTAAGACTTTATGAGGTCTTTTGACTAAATGTGAACTGTGTTCATGTCTTGTGCTCAGTCCCTGTCTCATCTCTACTTCCCACCCCAGGCAGGAATTACCTAAAGACTGGTATAATTTTGTGCATGGACACAGGCCCAAAGGGACTGACTGATCTCATGCTGATGGTAGGATTTTCCTCACTGACATTGTTCCTTTTCCCTCTAGTTCATTGATTGGCTATTCAGCATCAAGGAAAGTTCTAAAGAAGCTCTCTCAGCCAAGTCCAAAGATCTATTAAAAGGTAGGACTTCATACTTCATGCCTGGGGTAGACAAAAATCACCTTTGCTCTGTGTGATGCAGAAGGCCATGGGTGACACTGGTTCCTGCAAGGTTCTGCGTGGCCACTGATGGGTCATTTTGAACCAGAAAAGGGTTAAAAATGGTTTCACTGCCTTTAAATTTAACCTTGACTTAAATAGTTCTAAAACATTTTATTATGATGATAAAATAATTGTTTTGATTAAAATGTGGAAAATTCAGAGAAGTAAAAGAATGGGAATGAAAAAATCCAGTCTCATTCCAAAGGCAGTTTTGATAATTTCCACAGAAATATTTGCACTATATGAGCATTGTTGTTACATATTTATAATCATGTATAATTGATAAAATACACAGACAATTGGAGTACTGCATTTTTAACATTTTTATACATTTAGACCTGTTATTGTACCTGCTTCATAAGCAGTATGACTACATAGTATTTTGCAATGGAACTAGGCATTTCCCTAACTATCAGGCATTTAGATGGTTTTAATGTCTTCCCTAATGACTTTATTATATTATGACTGTAGAACCCTCAAACTTGAAAGATCATCTGAAAATGATGATGATTTGGGCATTGGCCTTGTAGCCTGAGGTAACTTCTGCTTGTCATCCATGACTTGGGGTCTGGAGCCAGTGGCTGCTGCCACTGTCCCTGGTATGCTGTCAGATAGTGTCCAAAAAGGTCTTGCTCAAGTTGCCAGCTCTGAACTAATTTATTTGGCCAGCCTAGACTCATAGGATGGCTCATACTTTATTGTGAGTGTGGCACATTGTTTTAGTAGGTAGGGAGGAAGCATCTAGATGATGTGAACTTGATTGAGAATCTGGAATGGGATCCGTTTCTAGAGTCTTGCTGTTAGGACTTTCTGATTATTGGCCTCAGGGAGTTTGAAATACTTTTTAATGACCATGGATCCATAATACCATCGGTTGCTCTAAACACATACTCTCTTTGGTTACAAAGTTAACAACTGATACCAATGTGGAAAGTATTCATTTGATTCAAGGAAGCACACATTCATTCACTTGATTGAATACTCATGACCTTATTAGAGTCACACACAATTGCTGTATAACTAATATTTTAAACCCACATTATATTTTAAATGTCATACATTATATCTAAATAACATCTAAATATGTTTCTATAATACTCTAAAATAAGATACATAATAAGTTACCTAAAGGGATTACATAGAATTTCTCTACTTCAGATTGATCCGAGAGAGGACTGGTAACCTGTGAGCGCAGGCCCAGATAGAACCCAGCAGTCACACTTGCTCCATTCAACACATGAACTCAACATTTTTATAGGATTTTTTTTTTTTAAGCTTTAAACATTTAATGGAAATAATTATATTTACATAGGAAAGAGTGCACATCTTAAGTAGATTTTTATAAGAGAACAAAATCAGCACTCACATCAAGAAAACAAGCATCCACAGCAACACAGAAGGGTCAGTTTTGAATTTTGAAATCTGCAAAATTTGCCAATAACTGATTGTAGGGTAACTTTAAAAACGCCCAAATCTTTAAAATAGTTTTCTACTATTAAAGTTCTTCTAAGTCTTGATGGGAGTAAGTCTCGAAGATTAGCCAGGTGAGAAAAAACCAGATTCTGTTCTGACACCTTTTTGATCAAAATGACCTTTTCAAGCACAACTTCAGTAAATGCAACAGTGTACTCTGCTTTCTGTCCTTTTAGCCACCCTATTGTCCATGAGAACTCTCCCAGAGTTTAAGAAGAAAGCTGTGTGGACCAGAGCCTATGGTTGGTGAACAGTTGTGCAGTGGCCAACAGTGTTCTCAGCTGAATGAGACAAACCACAGAAATGGAAGACATTTTTCAAAATTCCTATCTGGGATTGTTGATCCCGAGTTAAGGGTCATGAAAAGATGGCTGTATTCCTGTTAGCATGGCACTGCCATTGCCAGGGAAAGGGCGCATTTCTTTGGTATCCTGGCCAGTGGAGACTGAAGCAGCAACATGAATTTTCTTTTTTCACCAGAGTTCAACGTGAAGATTTTCTTTGTGAACTTGATTATATCATCTTCTCTCCCTTAAATTCTAGTAAAATAATCTTATGAATTTTTCCCATGTGACTTATTTGTCTTAAGGCAATTGGGAAAGTTTTACCAACAAAAGCAAACTAGTAGTAACAATTGTGTTTTCATCTATTTTCTATGAAATCTCTAAAATTAAATTCATTGACTCAGTAAGCAAGTTTTATTCCCATTGATAAAACACTCTTTTTGGAAGTACTGTAACATTTACATTGTAAACATGACACCAAATATTAGTAAAGTCAGATTCATTAGTGATGGCTATAATTTTCTTTTCTTTGTTCTTTTGAATGCAAGTGAAAGTTAATTCAAAACAGCTTCAGCCAAAAAGCCGAATGTTAACTCTGAAATCAAGAGATTTAAGAGTAGATCTTAGAAGGTGCAGCTATGTTCAATGAATCCAGTGATGCTTTCAGATTTTGTTCTTCTCAGAATCACTCCACATAGTTGATAAAATATCTGCCAGAAATCTTAAAGGTAAGGAAAAGTGTCTTTTCCTTCAGGTAGAGCAATGTGGAAAGGATCTGGTTTAGTCTGGGTCACTTCATTGTAAGTCTCCGAGCAAGTATCTGGGCACTTGGCTGTGGAGTGCTCTTAGGGATGAGGCCTGTGCTGTAGGTCCACCCCTAAGCCCCTGAGCATTGAGGTACACAGGCAACCCCATGCAAGCCATCTGAACTGGGTTTCCCCAGAAGAAATCTGGCAGACCACTAGGCAGGCTAAAAATGACAAATATTTCTTTTAAAGATTAATCTTTTTTACAAGTACAAATCTCTTAATCAGGGTGACTGGTGACCTAAAGTGAATAAAGGTCAGTGACAATATCCTCAAGAGCTGTATTTGACCCAGTGACTTGAGACTCAGACAACATTTAAAATTTTATCTGTTTGCTAATTAAACTTCCTTCCTGCAGCCATCAGTCAGGGCTGTCTTTAGCCAGCCCTATAAACATACTGATACATACATATATGAGACTGTTGGGAAGGAAAGTTACACAAATGAAATCATGTGCCTCTGTGCCTGTCATGTCATAGCACAGAGCTAGTGCTTCACAGGTACCATGGGACTTGTGCTTTCATGTTGTCACCAAGTAATACCTGTTACCTGTGTTAAAAATAGCTGTACTAGCTTTGTTTTCCAAATATATTACTTCCTTAGAGGTTAGGCTAGCAGGAAATGAATTTGAAGGAAGCAAAAAGGTAGAACATTTACACTAGAAGAAGCCAGCGTCTCTCTCTCCCCCTCCCATATACCTTTTCTTATATTTCCTACCAACTAGAGGATAAAATTCATCCCACATTTTCCATTAGATTAGTTCATCAGAAACATTTTCTTACATTGACTTAACTCTTGCAACAGTACCCTAACGAGGAAAAAAGTAATATCTTAGTTCACAAATGCTTCTGTTTGTAAGCAATTCTGTTCACAAAAGCATTTGGCAGAATTTTCTGTTCGTGAACTCTGCATTGGTGACAAACGGGACCACGGCCGTTTTCCCACACACACACAAATGCAGCTGCCTTCCTCGCAGTTGTAAAATTAAGTTCATAAACTGAGGTACCACTGTGTTTTCTGTTTTAAAATGCAGTAAACACATCTAGTAAATAGAGTTTCACCTGGAACCAAGATCCTGGACCTAAGATCCAAAGCAATTTCTTTAGATCTTAATGTTTAATGTGGATTTTTTTTTTAATGGTACTGGAAATCAAATTTAGGACCTTCCACTTGTGAGGAAGGCAGTGGCACCACTGAGCTAAATCCCTGGCCCAATGCTTAATGTAGGTTTGATCACTCATATTTAGAAACAAAAACAAGGAAAAAACCATTGCTTCATATTACTAAGCCTTTGGAATTGGGAAGTTTAGAGTAGGTCTTCATGGGCTGAAGGACTTCAGATTCCTGGGTAACCTTGCAAACGTTGGTTGCAAGGAGAAAGACTGAAGGGGAGGTGGGCACTGAAAAGACTACTACCCTTTTTCAGTTCTTGAATCGCAGTCACAGGTTGCTAACGCCCAAGTACATGATGGGAAGAAGAATCATCCCATACTTATAAACTCAGATCGTTCCTTTCAGCCCAGTTTCTTGTCAAACAAAGGCTGTCCCTCCTCCTGCCCTTGAGAAGAGGAGTACAAGAGGGAGGAAATAAGGTTATTTCCTTGAGTGTGGTGCTACATGCCTGTAATTTCAGTTCCCTGGGAATCTGAGGCAGGTGATTACAAGAGCAGGTTCAAACCCACCCTGGGTGATTTAGCAACTTAGCAAGAACTTGTCTAAAAAGAGGACAGGGGTGGGGTTGGGTGGCGTGTGATTGTAGCTCAGTGAAAAGGCCTTGTATTCAATCCCCAGAACTGGGAAAAAAAAAAAATCCCTAACCACTCTTCCTAGCCCCCATATTTTATTTTGGGCAGCCTTGAATGGAAGAGTCCTAGGATTTTTCTATTCATAGGAAACTCTACAGACTAAATTTTAAAATCAAAAGATTGTAAAACCGAAACATTCTAAGATATAGGTCACAAATAGTAAGACCTTCTGCTTTAGTTAACTTATTCTTGAGTAAGATATGATTTTCTCCAGATATTTTGGTTTATTCTCCAGAAACCAGAAGTCTCTGCTTTTTATATACCAGATATTCCTAAGTATATACAAAAGGAAATTTTGTATATGCTAGCTTTTGTAACACAAGTTGCCAAGATAAATACCATGCAGAGATATACTAACAAATTAATATGTGGGGTTAAAGCCTTGTTTTGTCTCTTAGAAGTATCCAAATACTCTGACTTGAATTGGAAAGAGTACATTTGGAATAGATGTTGAGATCCATGCAAACACCTAAAACTTATTTGTGTTTTATTTATAATGTGATGGGTACATGGTAACTAAGAGGCTATTAATAAAATTTTTTGAAGTTAATTGCTAAAAGTTTACTTCTCTTGAAATGATTGTATTTGGGGTGGGGCTTTGGAGCAGCAAGTAGGTGTGGGGTGGAGCCCTCGTGAAAGGGAACATTGATCTTGGAAGAAGAGACAGGAGAGACGTTTTCTTTCCCCACCATGTAGGGATACAGCAAGAAGACATACATCTGCAAAACAGAGAAAATCAGCTCTTATTCTTAGAGCCTCACCGGGAACTGAAGTGGGCAACATCTTGAGATTGGACTTCCCAGCCTTGAGAATTGTGAGAAACTTGTATCTGTTATCTAAGTCATAGTATTCATAGGATTTTGTTACAGTAGCCAAAACTAAGATACCAATTGATATCAGGAAGTGGGGTGCTGCAGTAGCCAATGCATAAAAATGTAGAAGCAGCTTTGAAATGAAGTAATGGGGAGAGCCAGGAAAAGTGTTAAGATGTTTGACAGAAGAAACTGATGCTGCCTTTTAGAGATAAAGGTGGTTTTGTTGAGGGTGATAAGAATTGAAGAAAGCTGGAGACAAAGCCTCCTCCTTCTTAGAGACTGCATAAATCATGAAAAGAATTTTGGTAGAAATAAAGACAGTAAAGGTCATTCTGCTGAGACATCAGATGAAATGAACATTTTATTGGAAACTGGAAGAAAGAGGGTCTTGGTTATAAATGGCAAAGAAACTGGCTGAATTGTGTTTATATTCTATTGTTTTGGGGAAGGTAAAACTGAGCAATGAAATTGGATACATAGTGGGGTAGAGCACTGAGCAAAGTGTTAAAAGAGTGGCGTGGTTCCTTCTGACTGCTTACAGTAAAATAGGATAAGCAAAAGTAGATGGAAGACATAATTATTCACCAGAAAAATTAGCCAGAATTTAGAGAGATGGAAAATTATCAGCCTGTCCCATTACAAAAGTTAGGAAAACATATTCTGAAGAAAAAACTTAATGGGTGTAGCAGGTAAACTACTCAGTAAGATTAACATTGGTATTAACTACAGACTTAATCGGCAACTCCAGCAAGAACATGCTAGTTGAAACGAGGAAATGGAGGTGAAACAAAATGAAGGCAACTGGACTTCTTGAAATTTATAGGACAAGACCATGGTTTTTTGGCCATGAATGCACATTATTTAAGGCAAAGGAAGAATGACTGTAAAGGGAATTTAAAGATCATCATGATTGTGTAGTGTTTCAAGAGGCAGCAATAACCTTGGTTTCAGCAGCTCAGATGGTCTTCCTGGAGCCCTGGGGCAGGCCCATTCAAAGCTGTGAGGGCTCAAACAGAGCTAGGGAGAGGACCTCTGACTCAGTGGGTCCTGAAGGCAGAGCATCCAGTTTAAGAGGATAATTCCTCAGCCTTAAGGTCTCATGGAGTCTGCCTTGCTAAATTTTGGACTTACTGCAGTCCTGTCACTCTTTCTCCTTTTGAAATAGGAATGTCTCTTCTTTTCCTTTCCTACCACTGTACTATATTTTAGACGCATATAGCTTGTTGGGCTTCATAGGTTCATAGCTATAAAGGAATTTTGCGTCAGATTAATTCTACCTTGACTATCACCTGATTTTTTTTTTTTGAGACAAGATTCTTACTGTGTAGTTCACGCTGACCTGAACTCACTGTGTATCCCAGGCTGGCCTCCAACTCATGGTGATTCTCCTGCCTTAGCTTTCTGAGTGCAAGAATTATAAGTGTGTAAAATCATGCCCTGCTTCACCTACCTGATTTAGATGATACTGTGATGCAGCTTTGGAGTTGATACAGGAACAAATTAAGTCTGTTGGGATAAAATTAATGTATTTTTCATGTGATAAGGACTTGAATTCGGTGGAGCCTGATGCAGAATGTTATACATTGAATCTGTGTTCCCCGAAAGTTCATGTGTTAAGCCCTCACTTCAGTGTGGTATGCAGAGGTAGAGCTTTTGGAAGGTAATCATGCCGTTAGGGTGAAGCCCTCCCTCATAAGACTAGTGCCGTTACAAAGAGACATGTGGGAGGAGAGCTCTGCCTCACATGAGGGTGCTGTGCAGAAAGCATCCGTCTCTAACCAGAGAGAGCCCTCACTAGGAAAGGAGTCGGCTGGCACCTTGGTCCTGGACTTCCCCAGTCTCCAGAATGAGACCTAAATTACTGTTATTTAAGCCACCCCATTTAGGTGTTTATGAAATAGTATCCTGAGCTGAGACATGGGATTTTGAAAGATGTTCATTTTACAAGTATATCTAATTTTTAAGGTGGATATAGTTGTTAGTTCTGCAGTTACATTTGTCTACAAAGTGTGTCAAAGTTGTTCTAGACAACTGCAGAACATTATTTTTACAGTGCTTCCCTCATATAGATCTGCTGCTGTTTGAGTCTGAAATGAAAAATACACGTAATTCAGGTAATAAAGTTTGGTTTCTCAATTTAATTGAACTTACTCATCTTTACAGAAAAATAATCAGATTCACACAATATAAATATAACTTGTATAAAATCCATAGCTTTGACGAAGCAGGGTGTACAGAGTGTATGTCTTAGAAAAAAATACTATTGTCACCTAGAATTTTAGGGGGCAGTTATTTAATGTCATGACTTTTTCCTCTAGTAGTATTTGTCCACCAGAATCATTCCTGTGTTGGATATGCTGACACTGAGTCCCATCTTTTTCTTGTCACATTGGAATGCTGTGCTTCACATTTTCTTTTTAATGGAAAAGACTCTGAGGACGTCTCTTCTTTCCGAGTAAAGATGACTGTAGGTAAAGTACATACCTAAGGTGGATAAAAAAGTGGCAAAAGTAAGGAAGGTTGATTAGCTAGGTCTTTGGAAAGAACCATGATTGTATAACAGTGTTGCCTGAATTCCAGGGACAAGATAGATAAAAGGGAGATTGAAGAAGGAATACTTAAAGAAGTATCCAGAATTTATTCAGAAATAAATAAACTCTATCCTACTATTTTTTAATGCATGAAATTTTTTTTTCAGGGTAGCTCCCCTCACTGCCTCTATAGTGTTACTTTAATCTTTTCTCTATTACGTTCTTAGATCTGATCACTTGTTACCTTCTAGAGATAATCATTATCTTAATCTGTGAGGGTTAGACATAAGGAGATTTAATAAAGGAAATATTTTCCCAATATTTCTACAAAACAATTAAAAAATTATTAGTTTTACTTTTTAAGGTTCTCTGAATGTATTCTTCTTTTAAAACATTAGCCTAAATTAATGCACATGTTAATGGGATTCAGCGTGCTATCTCCATACATGCAGTGAGCACTCAGCGTATCCAGTCACCTCCATCTGTGCCTTCTGCCCCAAGTCATTCTTCCAGTACCCTCGGAATCATTCTGCTTTCAAGTCAACTTCTTTTTTTAAGTTTCCACATATGAGAGAGAGATGGTAGTTTTCTGAGTCTGGGTTACTGCCCCTAACGTGTTCCCCAGTTTCTTCCATTTTTCTGCAATTGACAGGGTTTCTTTTCTCTTGATGGCTGAATAATCCATTGTGTTTGTGTGTGCGTGTGTACACACACCGTATTTTCTTTATCCATTCATCTTTTGGTAGACACCTAGGCGGATTCCCAATCTTAGCTATTGTAAGTAGTGTCACACTAAAGATAGGTATGCAGATATCTCTTTTGTATGCTTACTTCACTTCCCTTACATATATAGGAGTGGGATTGTGGACGTATATATACATAGTAGTTTTTTTTCAGGGATTTCTTTAAGGTACTTCCATGATGTTCCCATCAGTGGCTATACAAATTTGTATTTCCACCAACAGTTCATAAAGGTTTTTCTGCACATCCTTGCAACCATGTTTTGTCTCTATGCTGGTTTTTTATAATGGCCATTCTACAGGTGTGATGGAATCTCACTGTTTTGCTTTGCAGTTTCCTGATGGCTAGTAATATTGAGCATTTATTCATATATTTATTGGCCATTTGTATTTTCTCAGTTCATGTGCCCATTGTTGATTGATTTATTTTAAATGTTTTTTGAGTTCATATATTCTGGATATATATTGTTAGATGAATAGCTGGAAAATATAGTCTCTCATTCTGTAGGTTGTCTCTTCACTCAGTACTTTTGCTAAGCAGTTTTTTAGTTTAATCCCATTTGTCAGGTTTTGCTTTTGTTTTCTGTGCTTTTGAGGTCACAGAAAATCATCACCATACCAATACTTTATTTTGAATTGTTTCCTTCATGTTTTTTCAGTAGCAGTTTCACAGTGTCAGACCTTCCTTTAAGATCATTCATACATTTTTAGTTTATTTTTATATAGGGTGAGAACAGGAGTCAGATTTCAGTCTTCTGCTTGTATATATCCAGGTTGACCAGCACTGTCTGTTGAAGAGGTCATCCCTCCTTCAATATCTTTTTGGGGGGCAACTTTGTCAAAAGTCAGTGGCTGTAGGTTCATGGTTCAATTCTGGTTTCTCTATTCTGTCCCAGTCATCTCTGTGTCTATTTTTATGCAAAAATCATCCTATTTTGGCTCATTTGAGTCTTTTCACTTCCATATGAATTTGAGGATTTTTTTTTCTAGTTCTGTTAAGCATGTCAGTGGTATTTTGATAGGATTGCATTGAATCTGTAAGTCAGTTAATATGACCACTTTAACAATACTAATTCTAATCCATAAACATGAGGTCTACCTTTTGTCAAGTTCTTTCATTAGTATTTAGTAATTTTCATTGAAGAGGTCTTTCATTTCCTTAGTTTATTTCCAGGTACTGTGTGTGTATTGTGAATGAGACTGCATTATTTCTTTCTCAGCAAATTCATAAAAGATGCCTAGAAAAATTACTGATTTTTATATATTGATTTTGTACCCGCTGTTTATTGAATTAGTTTTTCAGGTCTAATAGTCTTTTCATGGAGTCTTTGTTTTTCCGTGTAGAGAATCATCAGACAGGCATTATAAGTTCCTTCCACCCTGTTAGTATGCTTTTTATTGCTTTCTCTTGCCTAATTTCTCTAAAACTTACAATAATATATTGAATAAAAACAGTGGGAGTAGACACCCTTGATGTGTTCTTAGAGGAAATGCTTTGTTTCTCATTCAGTATGATGCTGGTTGTTTGTTATATGTAGCTTTTATTATGTTGAAGTATAATCCTTCTATACCTAATTCAGGACTTTCATCATGGATTTTGAATTTTATCAAATGTTTTTTCTACATCTGTTGATAAATCATATGGTTTTATTCTTCATTCTATGTATGATACACTTTGTTTATTGAATTGCATATGTTGAACCATCCTGGCATCCTTGAATGAAACTGAGTTGATCATGGTGTGTGATTATTTGGATGTGCTACTGAATTTGAAATGCAGTTATTTTTGGAGGATTTTGCACGTATGTCCCTCAGGGATATAGGTCTATAGTTTTGGCTTTTTTTTTTTTTTTTTAATTGCTATGTCCCTGGTAACAGGATAATGCTGGCCTACTGAAATGAATTTTAAAAGGTTCCCTCCCTTCCAGTGCAATGGAGTAATTTGAGAAGAACCAGCATTGGTTCTTCAAAAGTTAGGTTAAATTCAGTGGTGAAGCCATCAAGTCCTGTTTTTCTTTGTTGGAAGACTTACTAATCTAATCTCTACCTGTTGTCATGCCAGTTGAGTCTTTAATATCTTCTTGGTTCAATTTTGGTAAGTCACATATGTCCTCAAATGCATCCATGTTTTCCACATTTTCCAATCTGTTAGCATATAGTTTCTCAAAATAATCCCTAGTGATTCTTTGTATTTCTGTGATAGTTTTTTTTTAAATCTCTTTATTTGGAGCTCTTTATTTGTTGTAGTCTAGTTAAAAAGTTTGTCCATTTATCTTTTTGAAGAACTCTTTATTTCATCCATCTTTTGTATTTTGAGGTCTCTATTTCTGTTTTTTTTGTTGTTGTTGTTTTTTGTTTTTTTTTTTGAGACAGGGTCTCACTGCATAGTTGAGACTGACCTGGAATTCACTGTGTAGCTCAGGCTGGTCTCAAACCCACAGCGATCCTCCTGCCTCAGCCTCCCAAGTGCTAGGATTACAGGCGTGCACCACCACACCCGACTATTTATTTCTGTTCTGACCTTTCTTTCCTTCTGTTAATTTTGGGTGTAGTCTTGCTTTTCTAAGTCCTTAAGATGCACCATTAGGTTGTTTATAGGAGACTTAATTTTTATGCAGTTATTGCTACAGACTTCTTAGTGTTGTTCTTGCTGCATCCCACATATTTTGTTGTGTTTTCATTTAGGCAATTTAATTTTCCTTCTGACTTTAATGATCCACTGTTTGTTCAGAAGTGTATTGTTCTGTCTCCAGGTGCTTACAGGCATTTTATATTTTCTCTATTCATTCCTTTGTAAGCAAAAATACAATATGATTTCATGTTTTTAAATTTAAGTCTTGTTTTATATCCTGGTTCAGTGATGGCATACCTTGTAGAGCTTTCAGTAATACAAACAGCCCACCACTGCACCCGCATACCATAGGTTTGCCACCACTTAATCTAATATATGGTCTATTCTGGAGAAGGTTCCACGCCCTCATGAAAACAGTGACATTCTGCAGCTGTTATTTTTAATATTCTGTATATTTCTGTATAGTTTAACTTATGTTTGTTGATTAGGGGAGGGGCAGTTGGATGATCTACCCATCTAGATGGGGTATTGAAATCCCATACTTACTACAATGGAACCTATCTGTTTAGTTCCAACAGTATTTTATAAAGTTGGGTGTAAGATTTCTGGTTATCATATCTTGAATTGATCCCTTGATCACTTTGTCTCCACAGTTTTTCTTTCAATTACTTTTAAGTATAGCAACTTCATCCATTTTATCAGAATATCAGTCCTTTGACTTATGGTTTGTGTCTTTACTGGTAAGAGGAGTTTCTTGTAAACAACGTATTTTTAGACCTTAATTTTTTAACCCATTCAACCATTCTGCATCCTTTAATTAAAGATCTTAGTCCATTTACATTCAAGGTCCTTAAAGTATGGACTTGTTTGTTATTTTGTTGTATTTCTTCTAGTAGTTTTGAGCATTTTTTTTCCTTATCTTTTTGGCTTAATGGTCTATTGAATTACGGTTGGTTCTTTCCTGTTTCTATTTTGTGCATGGACTCTTCTAGTGGGACTTAACACTTATATGCTATCATGATGTAATTTTTCTTCCATTTCTGGATGAAGGACTTCCTTATGTTTTTGTTTTTGTAATGCTAGTCTGCCAGTCATGAATTCGCTGAATTTTTGCTTGAGAGGTCTTTATTTCTCCTTCACTTCTGAAGGAGATCCTTGCAGCAGAGTAATCTTGGTTGGCAGTTATTTAAAGGACTTAAAGTACATCATTCCATTCCCTACTGGCCTGTAGGGAAATCATTAGGCTCAAGTCTGAATGGTAAGTTTGTAGTTTCTCCTACTGATTTCCAGTGTTCCGGTGACCACTCACCTCATAATGTAGTTATTCTCCTGTTGCTCTTGTTTTTCATTGTTGAAGAGCTAGTGAGTCCTCTATTCAGCCTTTTTGAAATCCCACCCAACTGTAAATTTTTGTTCCATAAACTTTTCTTGAGTCTTCAGCACCTATTCCCATTTGCTTGCTAGGAGGAACTAATAAGTGAGAAAATTATAAATAGCTAGTTCTGCTCAGTTTGATGTGTACTTTGTAAATAGCTGTGCTTATAGTCAAAACTTAGTAAAATTGTTCCTGTTCATTCAGTGAAATAGTGATATATTTGATCTTGTGATGCCTTGTCAAAAGCACTATAACTTCTAAATGCTTTAACAGCAGTCTAATTCATAACGTTAGGCTTGCTCTTTGGTCTCTCCCATGTTTACCAACTTGTTTAGTGCGATAGATGGAAGCATAAACCAGGAAGAACAGGAAGAGTGGAAAAACAAAGCAGCTGTTTACCTATAAAGAGCATCAGGAGATACAGCTTCAGCACATATGGCAAGTAGGTGGCCAAGTCCAAGGGCATCTTGGTGGAGTAAGTGCCAAATGACTCAAAATAAGGCAGCGACTGGTAGATGGCAAATGCTGTTTAAAGGAAAAAATTATAAACATTTCCTACTTGTTATGGGGATGTGCTTATGTGTCTCCATAGTAGAAGCAGATTTTGACTTAGACAGTGACAGTTTGATTGCTAAATCCTTTACCTAAAGCTGTAATCTGGTATAGAAATATAATTAAGTTGACAAGACTATTATAGTAGTTTGACTTACCACATTTTTACATTGTATATTTTATACTATGCTTACATGGAAAGACTATAGAATTTCATAAAAGGGTGATTCAAAATGCATCTGTCCCCCTTGCCACAAATAGCAGTGATAAGCAAGTAAATTTGGAAAACGCTGCATATATTTTCATTTTGGAGTGAAACAAAACACATTGAACACTGAAGTAGTTCTTTGAACTACTTGAAAAGTTCTTCGATAAAGAAACTAGGATCACCTAACTTTTCAGGGGAGAGGGTAGTACTGGGGCTGGAACCAAAGGCCTTCCCACTGAGCTAGATCCCAAGCTATTTTTAGAGTGAGGGTCTCACTCATGTAGAACTCGAACTTGTGGTCCTCCTGCCTCAGACTCCCAGCCCTGGAATTGTAAGCTCATACCGCCACACCCAGCTCACCCAACATTTTGTCGATATAACTGGCCTTGGATTGTCATCTTCTTCCTTTCCAAGCCTCAAGAGTAAGAAAAATGCTGATGAATTCTGTGAGAAATGCTGGCCTAAAATATTTTGAGGGAGAAAGCTGATATCAAATACAAAGAGATTCTGTGAATCGCAACCCTGTGTATGGAGTTTTTCACAAGATTCCATGGCATGAGAAGATAGTGCAATATGGTTATATGATATTATCATTAAGGTAAGCTAAGTGGAGAGTATGTGGGAATTTGTATAACTTTGCAATTTCTTGTGGATCTAAAATTATTTCAAAAGAAAATGTTTTTATAAAGAAAGAAATGGAAGGAAAGAGCCCACAAAGATGTTGGGCACAAGCAGCAACAGTACAGGACCTGCACTGACACAAATTTGCCATCTAAGATTAACATGACTGTACCTAACACTTCATCATGTAATTAGTTGTTTTATTCATATGCACTTTATCAGATGGGAAAATTATAATTATTACATTATTAAAATTATCAAAAGTTAAGCAGCATTCTTAACTGCATTTTATATTGCAGAATATTTGAAATATATAGAAACAAAGATAAAATTACTCATCATAGGCATTTTGTCATATGCTTTAGATTTTTTTCTAGATACCTTACCTTGCAATTATAAGTTTATAAATCTAATAAAAGAATATGGATTGTAAAGCAACCATATAAGAACATGGCTTTCCTAGAAAAGGATAGGCTTAGAATTCACAAGAATGGAAAGATTTACTATATACATTCATTCCTTATTTTAAAGAAGGGATTAGTCATAGTTCTACCTTCCCCCTTTATATAATTTATTTTAACTTTTTATTAATTTTAATTGAGAAATTATAGGTATACATTTATGGGGTCCAGTGTATGTTTTGATATATGTTTAAAATGTGTAATGATGAAGTCAAGCTAACATACCTATCACTTCACTTATTTTGGATAATGGGACATTGAAGTTTACTCTTGGTTATCTTTTTTATTTTTGTTTTTCTTTTTTTGGTATTGGAGATCGAACTTGGGACATTTGCACTTGTGAAGCAGGCAGCAGCACCACTGAACTAAATCCCCAGCCCTACTCTTAGTTATTTTGAAATGCACATTTACTAACAGCCAAAACTGTATTCTTCCTGTCTAATTTAAACTTTACATCCTTTGACCAATATTGCACCACTCCCTTTATATGTCCTCTATGGTATTTTCATGTAACAAAGGAATACACTTAATGTTTCAATGAGTAAAGTATTTCATTCTGTTAGTACATTTTTGTAGTACACAGTGTTTACATTCCTTGTGGAGAATTGGTACATATACATAATACTGCTGGGGATTTAGCTCAGTGGTTCTGCAGGCGTAAGGACTTGAGTTCGATCCCCAGTACCCCCCCCAAAACTTTCATAATACTTAATTCCTTTCATCTTAAAAAAAAAAAAAAAAAAGAGGGTAATCAGCTTTTATGGGTTTTCAGGATTATCCATTGAATTCTCTTCACAAAGAGAAGTTCTCCAAATTTTTTCCTTTTAGAAAGAAATTTTTGATTTAATACATCCAAGCTCATTTTCTCTGGTCAGCAATAGATAGAAAATATGTTTTATATTTTTCCCTTAGTTACCTTAACATGCTGCTTTTTATACTTTGTTTTTAAAAACTTTTTTTTTCAGCTTTAATTGAGTTTATTGGTACATTTTAGGGATACAGTACAGTTACATTCATTGTTGGGATCTTGTACCTCTACATGACAGGTCTTGGTTCTCATTTTTTCCCCTTACCTCTGCCCTCCCTTCCCCTCCCTCCCCTCCCTATCTACAAACACTTTATTTTCATCTTTTCATTCTCTCACATTTTTTTCTTTTCCCTTTTTACTCTTCCCCTACCCATCCCACTTTCCCTACACCTTTAGCTCCTTTCTTCCCATTTCTAAATGTCAGTAATCTTATTAGAATCTTATGCATTGTTGCAGATTATTCACACCAGGGAAACTATTCGGTATTTACACGTGTGACTTATTTATTTCACTTAGGAATATATCTTCAATATGTATCCATTTTCCTATGAATGAATCTATTTTCTCGTTCTTTATGGCTGAGTAATA